CTCCTCCTCCCGGCTCGTCGGCGGCGCAGAGCAGCAGCGGCAGCGGCGGCGGCGGCAGCAGCCACCCGATGTCTTCGGCGCCCGAGAAGCAGCAGCCACCGCACGGCGGCGGCGGCGGCGGGGGAGGCGGCGCGGCCATGGACCCCGCGTCGTCCGGCCCGTCCAAGGCCAAGAAGACCAACGCCGGCATCCGGCGCCCGGAGAAGCCGCCCTACTCGTACATCGCGCTCATCGTCATGGCCATCCAGAGCTCGCCCACCAAGCGCCTGACGCTCAGCGAGATCTACCAGTTCCTGCAGAGCCGCTTCCCGTTCTTCCGCGGCTCCTACCAGGGCTGGAAGAACTCGGTGCGCCACAACCTCTCGCTCAATGAGTGCTTCATCAAGCTGCCCAAGGGCCTCGGGCGGCCGGGCAAGGGCCACTACTGGACCATCGACCCGGCCAGTGAGTTCATGTTCGAGGAGGGCTCCTTTCGGCGGCGGCCGCGCGGCTTCCGAAGGAAATGCCAGGCGCTCAAGCCCATGTACAGCATGATGAACGGGCTCGGCTTCAACCACCTCCCGGACACCTACAGCTTCCAGGGCTCCGCCGGCGGCCTCTCGTGCCCGCCCAACAGCCTGGCGCTGGAGGGAGGTCTGGGCATGATGAACGGCCACTTGCCGGGCAACGTGGACGGCATGGCTTTGCCCAGCCACTCGGTGCCCCACCTGCCCGCCAACGGTGGCCACTCGTACATGGGCAGCTGCGGCGCCGCGGCGGCCGGCGAGTACCCGCACCACGACAGCTCGGTGCCTGCTTCCCCACTGCTGCCCGCGGCCGCCGGTGGGGTCATGGAGCCCCACGCCGTCTACTCAGGCTCGGCGGCCCCCTGGCCGCCCTCCGCCTCCGCGGCGCTCAACAGCAGCGCCTCCTACATCAAGCAGCAGCCCCTGTCCCCCTGCAACCCCGCGGCCAACCCCCTGTCCGGCAGCCTCTCCGCGCATTCCCTGGACCAGCCGTATCTGCACCAGAACAGTCACAGCACCCCAGCTGAGCTGCAAGGTGAGTGGGGAGGCTGAACTGTCCCAGTCCTGAGGGGAGCACATCTGTGAGTGCACTGCAGACCCAGCCCCCAGAAGCTGCTGACCGCCCTGGGCCACAGCCTGAGGCCACTTCTGTACGGTGCCAAGCCCCATGTTGCGGGGAGGCATCAGCTCCCCAGGGTGCCTCTCAGCCCCACCTCCCCCCATTTGAGACGCGAGTGCAGCCTGGAGCCCCCAGTATAGACTGAGATGTCGTTTTCTCTCCTTTTCTGTTTCAACTCCCAGCTGCTGGCTGCCCCAGCCTGGCCAGGTAGGCCCCATCCTCACCAAAAAGACTTATTAGACTCCAATATTCTAAGTCCCCTCAGGCCCCTTAGCCCCCTCACACCTCAGCAGGTCCCCAGGATGGAGCCAGGCCCAGCCCCGGACAGCTGGCTCACTCTCCCCGGTCGCCCCAGAAAAGCTGCGGGAGAGCCGCCTCTGCTCTGAGCCGGGCAGGACGGAAGAGTTAGGCCCAAAGCCGGCCGGGCTGCACGCCTGCTCAGAGGCTCAGAGCCCGGCCTTACAGGAATCAGGCCTGGGCCACGCGAACATTGAGTCGGGGCATTTTGTGGTGACAGAGGCAGAGGGGACCCTATCGAGGGTCAGAGTTGCAGGCCCCCCCCACAGCCTGTTTCTCAGGAGCCAGGTTTTCAGGTCTCCAGGTACCGCCTCACCCCCAATCCTCCGAGAAGGAAGGTGCACAGCAATCTTCCCCTCTGAACCCTCCATCTCGGCACCCACTAGCAGCCTTCTGGGCCTGGTTCTGAGAAGAGCTTGGAGTGATCCAAGCAGGGGCCTGTCAGGAGTCAGCTGTCAGCAGCCTGTGGGGGGAGGAGCCGGGCCTGGAGGCTGGAGGGCCCCTCTGCACCGGGTTGCCCAGCTTGGGCGGCTTCAAACTCCAGGCGGGCTCCAGCTGTCCCAGAGGCTCGGTTCTCCAAAGGGCCCTTCCTCTGGAGAAGCCACCCTTGGCCCCTGTGTTGGCCCCTGCCGGCCTGGCTGGCTGCTCTGGGGCCACCGCAGCCTTTGGGGTTGGAAGGTGGCTGCCCAGTGCCAGGCACAGGCCCCAGGCTGCCCTGAAAGTGGAGGCCGCTGGACCTTCTCTGTTGGCGCATCTCGGCCCCTCTCACCACTTCCCCGTCAGCCTCTGGAAGGCCCCGGCCCAGGCTCGGTGTCCAAGGTGGGAGAGGCCCAGCCGGCAGGCGCTCAGGGGAGCAGGGATCCTTGCCAGTGTCTGGGGATCTTCCCTTTGGGCGCCGGCCCTACGGAGACCGGGAACTCAGACATGCGGAGGCGCTGTGGAGGGGAGGCCTCCAGCCGTGCGCCCGAGCCGGGCAAGCCTGCCCCGTGCACCCCTCGGGCAAAGGTGCTTCTCCACCTGGAACTCTGGCCTCCGGAGGCTAACCCTTTAACGTCCCCTTTCCTGTCGCCCTGCCCTGCAGGCATCCCGCGGTATCACTCGCAGTCGCCCAGCATGTGTGACCGAAAGGAGTTCGTCTTCTCTTTCAACACAATGGCATCCTCGTCCATGCACTCGGCCGGCGGTGGCTCTTACTACCACCAGCAGGTCACCTACCAAGACATCAAGCCGTGCGTGATGTGAGGCCACAGCCCCCGGGGCCCTCCGGGCAGGGGCTGGCCGGGCACTGGGACTTCGGAACCCATCGCCAGAAACTGCTTTGTTTTCGAGGTATAACCGTCGGCAGAAGAAAAGGGTTTGACCCCGCCCCGACCGGATTATTCGGGAAAGGAATCCCCAAGGCAAAGACGGAGCCCCGCTGTCGGCACCTCCCCGCCACCCGCTCAACAGTTTCTTTAAAATGGTGGTGGTGGGGCCTGATCTGACTGCAGCTGTTGAAAAATAAATATCTATTTTTGATCCTATTGAAACCAGCTGAGAAGGTGCTGTGTTGGGGAAAAACCCTCAACATCTAAACAAGCATATTCTGCTGAGGCCTCTCCCCCTCTCCCCCTCCAACGGCAAAAGTCGGGGAAGGAGAAAGGCAAACGTGTGAGACCGTCATTATCAAATACTTTTATTTTTTGGTTGAGTATTTATCTTTTTATTTTTAATTTCTTTTGAAAGAATGTCTTGGATTGCGCGTCTCCTTTCAGAGCCATCTTTTGCAGGGAAGGGGGGGCAAGAAATCGCCTTCTCCCTCCCCACCTCAGAAGCCGTCCAGTCAACCACAGGTGGATCCTTGTGCGAGTAACTTGCATTTCTGAAGCCACTGCTCGTCTTAGGAAAGAAACCAGGAGGAGCCCAGAAGCGGCGGCTCTCGGGCCTCTGCTGCCA